ATAAACAACCACAACCCAAAAACCCACCAAACCGAGCCAGGGGGGCTGTGAAATGTTGGGAGTTGAAGACCACACAGCTGAAAGTTCCCAAGGTTGAGAAACACTGGCTCAGGTGGAAGTAGCTACTCAAAGTAGCATATTAAAAGAGAGAGCTTTAAAATCAGCATTGCCCTTTCTATAGCAATGGGTGGCAAACCACGATTCATGTCTACGACTTACCAACCTACCCACCCACCTATCTAAACATTGCTGTATTTCAAGCATTAATGTCAAAATCCCTCAAGATTTCAGATCAGGGTGCCAAATCTTGTAAAATGTCAACCAATTAAAACACGATGGTTGCTGCTATTATTATGGTCATCCATGCCATGCTGGTTTGGCACCTATTCACTGCCTACCCCCTGTTCTATCCCACAGAATGTGCGGTTTCATTGTTGGCATTCTCCAACCTGAAACTTTTGGATTGGTGTCCTGTGTGTGATTTGATCTGGGCCATAGGCCGCTTTAACAGAGAAATGGCTAATTTCTACAAAACAGAGATGTGTTTTGCCTCTTCTTCCATGCTCAAACCCTGAAAGTGGCTTTGGTGATCTCGATCACAGCTCTGAATCCTAAAGATCACCAAGAAGTTATTTCTGCAGAGCACTAACACGTGCGTCAGATTTCCCACCAGACCCATACAAAAGATCCAGCCTTCGCACCCTGATCTTTCAAAATGGAGAATCATTCAAGATCAGCCCTGACCAATTTAGATCAAAAAGCATACAGAAATTAGAATTCCGTATCTTTTACAGATCACATGGGATAAACCAATCACGTGCTTTGTCTTGTTTTAAGTTTAATTGGCAAACTGAACTTAGTAGCCACACTCCAATGACTACAAACTTAGTCTCTCTATGTTCAATTGCAGATTACAAAGTTTCTTAGAATGCAGTTTCTTTTTTAACCAGATTTTAAGACTAAAAGGTCTTGGAATGGCCTCTTGGCATCAGAAGAGGAATTAACTTCATTTACCCTCCCGTATCCAAGAGACGAATGGCGTGGGATTAGCCGATGCTACACACTCCATTACAACAGTCTCTCCAACCACCACTGTGGCATTCTCCGGTGCAGTGACAATGACCACATCCCCCATCGTTGGTTGTTGGTGACCTAAGGCAACAAAATTCAGATTTACTTTTTTTCTTCCATCCCCCAAACAAGTATTTCAGTCAGAACAATTTCACCAAAACATCATAGAAAAAAAAAGTTTTCCAAGTCCAATGTTCAAGGTGTGCATGAGAATGAAGGTCTTAGATATTGACTAACACTCCTACAAAATCTGTGCCATGTAGCTCAAGAGCTTCCTTCCACTGTGAAAGAGTCTTCTCATTTTCAACTTTCGTTCCAGCATGCTTGAGAAGTTCTCCAGGTGGTGTTTTTAAACTGACTTTATTGTTGGGGGATCTACTATAGGAAGATGACCTTGAGCAGATCATAGCTGTAAAGGACCATCTATATATTACTAAAACTCTTGTGTCTGTAACTTTCAACTGGGTGAAACTGTGCATCATAGGGCAACGATTTTGGCCCCAAGGTACCTCATATGGGCTAACTTACATAATGCATCCAAAATCCAGGACCCATTATTCCCATGGGATCAAAATTTGGGAAATTTGTGGCTGCTTCAGCACTGCTGTGCTGCTGCATCACCGTGGTCAGCCCAAGTCAGCTTTTTTGCCCTTGGTCAGCCTTTTTAAAATCAGCTGCAGTCAGCAAGATGCTGCAACTCAGCCAAGGAGGTCCTGCTGAATGTGTCAGGAAAAGAAGGGTGCAACTCATTGTCATTGTGTCCTCATATCACCTATGGCAAGGAACTGGAATCTTTTTTAGGCCCCATTCCATTATTTTGCCCAGTGGCTCAGGCATTCCCTGGGAAGGAAGGAAGGAAGGAGATGGTTTAAAAGAGAGGGAGGAAGGGAGGGAGTAAATTGAGCGATGGTGTAAAAGGGAGGGAGAAAGAAAGAAAGAGAGAGGGAGGGAGAAAAGAAGGAAGGAAGGAAGGAAAGAGATGGTGTAAAAGAGAGGGAGAGAAAAAATAAGAGAGAGGGAGGGAGGACCTCAAAACTTGTGAAATCACTACATCTCCCAAAATTTTCATACACCTGAAATTTTATAGAATTGGCTGTGCTTGTGGGATTTCAGCCATGATGAACTTTTAAATTCAATTTGGCCCCTGTTTGGGGTTGCTACGAATACCCTTGTCCCCAGAAGCTGTGTTCCTATCCTTGGTCTTCTCTACCCAGCAGCTTTTCTCCAATCTTTGCACCTGAAAAGAACTCTGACTACTCTAAGCAGACACTCTTAACACTGACCTACAATTTCTTTCTTTTCCTGCTCTCTCCTGTCCTTAATGCTCAATATTCACCTTTTGGGTCTTTAGCCTCAACCTTACAGGGTCGGGACAATCTATTAAAGTCACAAAGACTTGGTGTCTATGAAGTTTTGTGACTCCCTGTTTAAAAAAACCCCCACAGGATTCATTTCTCTACCTTCTGGCCAACCAAGCCATTTTTTTACCCAAATGAGTTGAATTAAACCTGCATTCCCAACCTTAATGCTGGCATCTTTTTTGAGTCAAAGAAAGTGCCAGGCTCCTCACCAGGCTGACAAAAAACAGCCACTTGCTCTTAAAAGAGGAGCAATTCTAAACAATTTCTTGACTGGATTCTTTACTGCACTAACACTCCAAATCCACAATTGTTTGGGGAGTAAACAAATGCACATTTAATTCTCAGTCCCTCACCGATTAAATTTGCTCCCCACCAACCAATTTTCCACTGCTTAAGTTCCTAATTAAATAGATTCACGCTTACAAAACCCTTTTGAGATAAAGGAGAATGGTTCATAACACAAATCTATGCTTAATTTCTCTCACCTTAGCAGGCTGTCCTCTGGTCTGTTGTCCTTTCAGGGGTGTCTACAGGTGGTCAAAAAAGTCAAAATGGCCCCTACAGCCATGCAATCGAAGCCCTGCCCATATTGCCTTTCTTGAAAGATTGTCAAGACCAGCAACATTTGCAAAACATTTGCATATCACATCAACTGTGAACTGCCTTCTTGCTCTCTGCACAACCAGGAAGAAAAATCACAGATGGATCTTTTTGCTCTCCTCTCCTGAACAGCTGCTCAAAGCCTGAATCTATCCCCAGGGGAGGTGGTGGGCTGGTGGGGGGATCTCAACACAATTTCAAGCTCCTGCTCAGGAAAAGGGTGAGAAAGTTCACAGCCAAGCTCCAAGCTTAGTTTGTTTCGTGCCTTTGTCTCCTGAGCTGCTAAAAGCAGGAACCCAAGGGTGATCCATCTCTTTTTTCAGCATCCTTGACCTCACTGGGATTGCTGGGAACCATCTTGAACACCGTGTGCCACACACAGGGGTGTGATGCACTGCAGGGCATGGAATCTCAAACTAGGACTGAGGAACTGGAAGTGGTCCTTCCATGTAGAGCTGGGTTAAAGAGAAAATACCTTCTTCTGTATCAGAAGGAGTCTGGAAGCACCTTTTCTGACTCACAATTTTTATTTTTGAATAACATTTTTGAGTCCTTGGGCTCAATCTCCCCAGGGTCCCCATCAACACCAACTGGAACTGATCATGGAGAAAGGCAAGCTGCCATAATACTGTGACCACTGATCCTAGTCTCTAGTTGTTCCAGAAGGATACCATAATCGATTGCATTGGAAGCCACCAAGAGATCAAGTACAGCTATGCAGTAGCACCACCCCAGTCTTCTGCCTCCACAAGAAGTCATCAACAGGTGTAATCAATGTTGTCTCATACTATGCCCCAGACTGAAAAGGGTCTAGATGATTTATTTCCTCCAAGACCCTCTGAAGCTGCAGCCCAGCCACCATCCCAACATCAACCATCTCCAGAAACAGAAGGTTTGAGATTGGATGTAAACTCTCCAGGACTGTTGTCCAGCAATGTTCTCTTGAGGGAGAGGTGTACCACTACCTCCATCAGAGATGTTGGTAGTACTGCACGGACCCAACCTCATGTTATTTCCCAGATGGCCTTCACAAGCCAGAAGGGGCATAGACCTAATAAACAGGTGACCTGTTAAGAGTCCTGAGGACCCTGTCCACCTTCTCAGGCATTACAGATTCAAACTCATCCCAGCTAACCACATAAAACTATGCTTCTGTTGCCTTGATGGGACCTGCCCAAAGTGCAACTTTGAAGTCCAACTCCAAGTGACTTTATCAGTAAGATACCTAAAACATTCTTCACAGTGGTCCTGCAGGTGGTCTTGTAACCCTTCCCTCTTCCCCAGCAAGGAACCAAGTCACCTTAAAAGGCACTGCTGGATGGCCAACTATGAATGCAATAAGACCAGAAAAATAACTATGTTTTGCTGCTTTTAGTGCCAGAAAGCAATCCTTAATATGGGTTCTTACTTGTGCTCAGTTTGATTCATTATCTTTCTCCAATGGTACTCCATTAGGGTCCCTTAATTACCTGGAGTGGACCACTATAACAGGTTTGCTTCAGATTCATCCCATCACGATGGAGACTTTTTAGTTTTCTTTCTAACTGCCTTCTTCCTATGATCCAGCAAGGAAGCAGTGATAATGGAGAAGTCTGCAGCTGCCTGTTTACAGAAAGGTTTCCTAAATCTATCAGCCTGGGTATCCATTCTTCCAGGCTGTTGGGCCACATGTCCTTTGGCATCCCATGTAACTGAAACTTTGCAACCAAATGGCAAGATTTTGATGATGTGATTGCGTCTCCTCTTCTGAATTTTGGGGTGGTTTTAGGGGTGGAAGTAGGACCGCTTTACCCATGAGAGATCTCCTACTCTCATCCCTATTCTTCACCTCCCCTTCCCCAGGCAAGCTGTAAAACAGGCCAAAAACGTTCAGTCCCATCTTCTCAAACATCTCAGCATCCCCAAATAGCCTTCTGCCGTTTTTCCCAAAGTTGGGAAGACGAGTTGTGGTCCCCCATTCCCCCACACTGTCCACTCCTAAGTGGACTCTGCTGCAACATGGACACCAAAGAGAGTCTCCAGGCATCCATCATCCTTTGCTGAAGAAGTTTGTAAAAAACAACACACACACACACAAAACCCAAGCAGTTATTTGGGCAAGTTAATGCAGAATCCATGTCCATCTGGGAAAGCTGGGCTGCATGAAAGGGTAGAGAGTGGGGAAGATGACCTTGATGGAGATATGCAGGAACCATTACTTAGGCAAGAAAGGCCAAAGCATTTTCCAAGTCCAGAAAAATGGGATAACATTTGGAAGTGGCAAAGGTTGATGCCTCCCTCATTCCCTGGAGCAGGATTTCTCAACCTGATCAACTTTAAGACGTGTGGACTTCAACTCCCAGTTGGCTGGGGAATTCTGGAAGTTGAAGCCCACCCATCTTAAAGTTGATCAGGTTGAGAAACCCTGCCCTGGAGTATAAGAAGGAGGAGGAAGTCCAGCACCATCAGACTTGCAAGATTCTGTTATTAGAGCCAACCTCAATAAAGTAGTCTTAGTCTTCCTGGGGCATCTACCGAGTGGGGCAGACAGAAAGCATGCCTTATACAAAGCAGCCATTGGGCAATGTTGAAGCAAATGCATGCTTTTAACAAACAAAGAGGCATTTTTCCTAGTGCAATAGTTTTGATATTTTAGTAGCCAAAGGTATTCTAAGGCAATCTGTGGATATGCCTAGAGTGAAACTCCTAGACATCAGTGTCTGGGAGACCTCAACGTTTTTGTCAGAGAGACAGAAGCAGCACGGTAGCATGTCCTGCCTGTGAGACATCGTGGCACATGTGGAAAGGACTTGTGCCACAAAGCTACTTTTGTCAGCCTGACATCCTTTCCCCCCTCTGTGGAGAAACTGGTGCTCCTGGACCTCCAACTCAGGGCAGTTGCTAGAGCTGTTCTCCACTCTCATCCTGACAGACCAGTGCTACACTGGTTTCCCCCCTGCAGGTTCCTACTCCAATTAAAACTTTGCCACCACCTTTGAAAAAAGGGGGAGTGGGGAGAAAGCCCTAAAGATGTAGGAGGGAGACTCAAGTGAAGATTGTTCCCTGAGCTGTTGATCCTGCATTGGAGAGAAGATTTGCTTGCACTGGCTGCTGATCCCACAATCTATTTGCTTTTTTGTA